AAAAAAATAAAATTATAATAAAGAACAAAAGAATTATTGTTCCCAAATTATCATATTTCTACAATCCATCCTTAAAAGCAGTATACCTAATACAAACCCAACCCACACTTCTAAATACAAGCAAATCATTAAGCCCGCTTTACTGTATGGTGACGTGGCAAATGACAAAGTGCATAAATCCATTATTAAACATAAGCTTCCCAGAAAATTCCGCTGAAAGATATCGTAAAACATACATGATAATAGTATATCGAAACGTTAGATATATACTACCTGTAGTAGCGTATATAATGGATTAGTTTTGTAGTTCAAACCTCACCCTAAAATTTTTTGTAACATTTTACACTAGATATACAGTAACACCCTGCTAAACGCTGCTTCGTTAAACGCTGTTCTGGTTTAGCACTCTTTTATTTCAACGACAACTGAGCGAATACGCTGTAGAAAACATAAATCTTTCTTGGATTGAGATAACAGAAAGATCTTTTAAGGGACTATGGAAGAACATTTGGCCAGATTTAAGTAAGAGCGAAGACATTGGACACTCTGTCGATATGTATGAAATAGTGGAAGAAATAGTGTAATTAGCGAAACAAACCGGTTTAGATGAGGTAAATGTGAAAGACGTCGAAGAAATAGTTCAAGAAACAGCAGCTAGTCTTTCTAATGATGAGCTCAAGGAATTAAATGTGCAAGAAGAAAACAAAAACATTAATGCTAGTGATTTCGAAGAAGAGCAAAAAGACCTTTCTTTTACAGACTCCGTTTGTAAAAAGGAGTTTGACCACTTCAATTGAAATTATGAACCAAATTGTTGAAAATGATCCAAATTTTGACAGGAAAATCAAAAATCAAGACGTCAAAATCAACACGGGGTGTTATAGATGCTTTATCCACTTATCAACAACTTCTAATAGAATGCATAAAGGAAACGTAAACTACATCAGATGTTTTCTTGACAAGAAGGCAGATAATTGGAAACACAGAATAAACAAAATGATCTGACTGACTTAGAATTTTATTTGCTTTTATATATATTCGTTTACATCGTTTTTGTTTTTGTAAGAAACAAATATTTGGTATTTAATTTAATACCTAAGCAATTTTCTATCAAACTTCCCCTAACCCCATTATTTATATGTTAAGATAGCCTCGTTTAGCACTGTCTCGCATTACGCTCTATTTTGATGGAATGTTTCCTACGCGTTTAGCGGGGTCTTATTGTAATAGAGTTTTTTCAATTAAATATTTTGATAAAAATAAGTTTTTTAACATTACTTTTTAAATGTGTCTCTATATACGCACATATCTATAAATAATCAACGTTATAAAATACATCCACGGTTGCCACTTATGGTACTTTAGTACTAAAATTGGTACTTTTTTTTCCGTTTGGTACTCATGTTCAAAAAATGGTACATTTTCGGCGACCCAACTTTATTGTGGATATTGTATTGTTTTATACTTTTTGTACATTTTATATAAATTGTATTTCCTTATAAAAAGACAATAGAAAAATTTTGGACCTTTTTTTACAGAAATGGTACCTTTTTAAACCAATTTTGGTACAGAAAAAAATTTTCAAATGGCAACCGTGAATACATCAAGAACAAAGTATAAAAACTGTTCGAACAAAACTGTAAACAAAGCAAGCTATTGTATTAAAATAGAGTCAACATTATTAAAATCTTGTAAGCATAACATTTATATGTACTACTCACAGTTTTACTGTCAACACTTAAAACAACGCTGTTATTAATATTGACCAAAACATTTAAAGTGAATGAGAATTATAATATGAAACAAGCTTACATATATGTTTAGCACCTATTTAAGTCACAAACATCAAAAACGATCATAATTGTGGATAATTTAATAAAAATTTACGTTTTATTCAACAATTCTCTGTAATTTTTTAGCACAATATATATTTTGTTTATGCAGAGAAATATGAGAACTAGAAAGGTAGACCATATGGAACAATAGAAGCTATTTGAGCATAGTTTGATGTTATTAACTAAACATTCGAATAATCATTTAGGAATAATGAAATGCTTTCGTTAAAAATTATGAATTATAAATTTATATTAATTAACAACGCAACGGCTGTTCTACTTCTGATTTAAATTCACAAGAGACCACTATAGCAGTAGTTAATTAATGAATTAATAGCTTGTTTTGAGAGACCCATTCCTTGAACCTTATGTCTGTACAGACCGTAGTTGTGCAGACTTCTTATGGAATTACTGAACAGTTACGAAGTACACTTTGGATAACAAAATAATATCGCACACAAAGACACATTCGTAGTGGCTCAAATTATACCTACTACATAAAATCATCTGATCATAAAAGATAACGAAAATCTTCATGGACCATACTAAGCTAAGGCGATTGAGTGTAAATATTGTGTCAGATTAAAAGAGTTTTTAGGACCAACGTTATTAACAAGGACTTACTAATATCTGTGGGAATGTGAAGCTATATTAAGCAGAATATTAGGATCGAATATAAGTATTCAAAGAGGAAATTCGTATTTGTATTTATGTGTCAGAAAATTAGAGTCAGAACATCTTCATTAGCAGTCAGTCGAAAAAAAAATTAAGTTCAAAAGTTGTAAAAAAGTTATGGTGTCTGAATTTATAACCAATACCATACATATATATAGAACAAAATACAAAATAGTATTAAAATTTAACAAGTAAAAAAATAAATATAATTAATTAATTCAGTTATTCTGATTATATCTGCTTTATGATTTCATTCTAATATAAACACAGCAAGCGAATTTGTTAATAAACTTTCACAGCAAATTAACAAAACTCCAGAAAAATGTGCGAACATAAGTTAAGTACGGCTATGGGTTAGTTGGTTAAGAAGCGCTGACTCTGAGCTTTAAAATTGGTAGGGCACGAGTTTGATTCCTGATACTTGCAGTCTCAAAAAATTATTTACGAATAATTAAATATAAGAATTATTTCCAAGCCCACTGAAGATGGGTTTCTGACAATACTCGAAATAGCTGTATGGTCAGCCAATTCAATTAATGAAAATAATATAAAATGAATTTTTGTTGTTGTAGGTCACTACTTTTCGAAGCCTCTTTATAAATTATAATTTCGAAATAAAATAATTTGCTAAATAATTTGAAAAAGTATTGAAACCGAGACTTTCACGTGAAGAAAAGATTGACGAATGAGAAAATATCATGAGTACATAGCAAATATATTTAATGTTCCTTGTGTCGTGAAAAAGCGAAATAAAGATATTTTATGTTAAAATTTAAAATAGCCTTTCAAGTGTGCTTAAAAAAAAGATATTTTTTAATTTTTTCCTTTAAGAATTAATACAAAAATCATATAAAATCTTTAGTGAATGAAAAGAAAAATAGTTGCATTAACTATTTTCTTATGAAATGATAAAACGAATGCGAAATGATTAACATTTTATTTAAAATTTTTAATTAAATTTGGTATGCATTTTAACATCTTGAATAAACACAATTCCTACTAACATCGATAATCACATCAAATAATTGCTTTATTTTTTTTTTTTAATTGTTGTTTAGTTTTGGATTTAATTCCGCAAGGAATTTTCAAATTGTCCTTTCATTTTAATTTTAATTTTAGTTATTTAAGTAATTTTTTAATTTTTTAGTATTTTTATTATAAAATTAATCAAGACACCCAAACACATATAAATAAAGTTCTCATCAATCTCTTATGCGCATTTTGAATTGAGATGCAGGTGGAGTGCACAGATCCTGCAATACTTACCTCCTTTTTGGACTTCAATTCCTCTGAATTGAAACTATTGAGCAACAAGGCCAAGAACAAGTTTAGCACCATAAAATTTCCCATAACGAGAGTTGGCAAAAATATCGCAAAGCAGGACGAAGCTCCTTGCTGCAATAAATATGAGAAATAATGTACTAACATGGATCATTTTATTTATTTTTAAATAAGACACCAACCTCTTCTTCTGCTCGCATACAATCCCAAAGTGGCTCGATCCATTCACCACATAATATGCGAAATATCATCATAAAGGAATGAAAGAAGTCATTGAAGTTCCATCTATTGAAGTAAGAAATAAATCCAGTTCATTGCATTACTACATCTGCAGCCTTATGAATTCAATCTATTATAAACTTACCTTGGCACTGGGTCTGGATCGAATTTTTCAGGTGTATAGTCTTTTGAAAACAGTTGCATACCAATCACAGCGAAAATATATATAACTATAACTAAAATAAGGGTCAGATTACCCAAAGCACCTATTGTCGAAATAATAATGCTGAGCAGAACTTTCATCGTCGTCCAGGATTGTGCTAACTTTAAAACTCTTAGCTGAAAGACGCACATTTTTAACAAAATAAAATTAGTATGGTTAGAAAATTCTATTCCAATAACTGCATTAAATTAAATACTTACCAATCTCAAGCCCCTTAATACACTTAAACCATCTACCAACTCAAAAATTATATCTAACAGACTTGCTGTTACAATGATGAGATCGAAAATGTTCCATCCGCAAAGAAAAAAATCCTTTGATAAAGCCATTAACTTAATAATACATTCGAACGTGAAGATCGATGTGAAGACCTGCACAAAATAATAATTTAATTTTCTTATTACATATATACATATACATATATATGTATGCATATATACATATATAGATTTATATATATGTACTTTTGTATAAAAGTTATGGAATGGGTATGGGTAATCTTACTTTGTTTCCCACATCTAATGCATTGCGAAAGTTCTCGCTCATGCCGTGGTGCTCCATGGCGAGAAATGCCGTGTTCAGTACAATGCACAGCGTTATGGCTAGTTCAAAAAGTGGGTCTCTAACCACCTGAAATGATATGCATTTTTATTTTTCTTCATTAATTTTTCGGTCATAAATTACCTTATATAAGCAATTTTGTATTTGCAGCCAACCCTCGTAGTCAATGCAACATTGTACACATCTGTCACAATTACGATCTGGAAGATCATCTGTAAAATAATTAAATAATGTTAAACATTCATAGATTGTTTTGCTGTTGTAAGTTACCGATAACAACGATTTCGGAAGAAAACTCTTGATGCAACGCATAAATGTTATGCTTTTTGATTCGGGCAATGTTTCCATTGCATTTTATTAGACGCACCTCGCGTGGCGATAGTGCCAACGTTACTGGTGTAAGCTCGTTTTGTAGTTCCACTGTTGAAACGTTGACCATTTCAGTGCCAGTGTCCTGTTCCTCGTGGTCGTCAACAACTCCCGAATCATCTTGCGAAGATTCTCGATTCATGCCGCTTGAGTTGGAACTTGCTTGTCGACTTGTGGGCAGTAATTGACCTTTGTAGTCTGAGGGGTAGAGCATGTTTGGATTTTTAGTGCTTTCGTCCTGAAAGCAGATACGGGTTTTTTGTTGCGCATCTTTCGCACGATGTGGTTGCTGCGCTTGTAATTCCAGTGCTTTTGGTCGCTCTGTGTTGCTGTGGCGTGGACTCGGACTCGGGCTCGGCGTAACAGATCTACTTTTACTCTACAAGTATGTAAGGAACGTAAATGTGTAAATTAAGGAATTAAGAAAACAAAATATGTATCCTTTGTGAACATACCTGGCCATTTCCGTTGCTGTCGTTGTTATTGGCACCATCCTTCCCTGACTTAAGCTTTTTTCGCCGTGTCTTCTTCTTACTGTATGAGGCAAGTAGAACACCTTTTCGAGAATCAATTTTCTTCTTGTTGTTTTTGTTTAACTTTTTTACGTTTAGAACGGACGGGTCAAAGCTAAAAGTTGAATCATCTCGGTGATCTAGTAAGTCTTTTTTGCGTTCCTACGAATGAGTTTATTACAATTTACAGTTAAAATAAAAAAGTATGGGAGAATAACTTACTTCATTGGTGATTTCCGCTTCCTCCTCGTAACTTAACGCTACAACGGCTAACATTAGGTTTATTAAGTAAAATGAGCCAAAAAACACAACCACAGTAAAAAAAGATACACTCATTGGTCCTGATGTGGCCAAGACCTTAACAATTGCACAGAAGTTGTTCTTTAGTTTCCATTTTCCAAACATTTTTCAAACATCAAGAATTCAACTTACCATGTTATAAACATTTTCCCAGTAGTCCAGCGTGATCAACTGAAATGTCGTCAGCATGGACCACATGAAGTTATCGAAGTTGGTGTATCCATGATTTGGGTTCTCGCCAACACACAAACACGTATAACCAAGTGGGCAGTGACGTGCGCCAGTCAAGTTACCACACAGCATTGGAAGCTCTTCTTCGTCATAGAGCCAGTTTTCCGTATCGTTAATCCAGCTACAAAAGAGAAATTAATTATTGCATTTTAATATATTTCCAAAAAAGTGTATTGCTTACATTTTCCACTCTATATCGGTCGCATTCAACCAATCATCTGGAAGATTTTTTACACACTTATTGCGCAGCTCCCCCATGTAAACCTGAAAAGATAAAGAATTAGTTTAATCATGAGCATTCACTGCTTTATGCACATCTAAGGTGTATGCAGGAACGATTCACTTACTTGCAATGCAAACAGTGCAAAAACCATTAAACAAAATATCGTCAGCGTCATGACCTCAGCCAATTGGCGGAACGAGTGCAGCAGTGCGTTTATGATAGTTTTAAGTCCTGGCATAATTGAAACAGTCTTAAGTGCTCGCAGCACGCGAAATGTACGCAAGCCGGCCAGATTGCCAACATCCATGCCGATGGTGGCGTAGCCGCTTGTGATGACAACGAAGTCCAGCCAATTCCACGGGTTGCGCAAGTATGTGTATTTATTGAGCAAAAATCCTTTCGCAATGATTTTAATTACCATCTCAATGCTATAAATGGCAAGGAAGATGTACCTGCACACAATACAATACAATTGAATGATGAATTAATGAAGTAATTTTTTTTTTAAATTAAACTAAAGCATCAAAACTTACTCTGCTTCCTCCACTGTCTCAGTCATGGCTAAGAAAATGCAATTGAACAAAATTGTGGCCATGACGCAATAATCGAAGAATTGATTGGTGGCTATGTAGACACAGATCCTTCGTATCGTGCTCCACGGGTGAAACAGGAAGAGACTTTTGGTGCCAGTAAAGCGATGAATATAATTTTTACGAAATCGCTTCGAAACAACGCAGAAAGTCTGGAAATAAAATAAAATGTTTGTTTATAAATTTCTTTTATATTATATGTAAGTCTAAAATAGTAAGTAGTTTTCGAAATAAAATTAAAATTTTTGAATCTTAATTTTGCCATCTAGTGTTCATATTTTATTAACAAACGTGCCATCTGTTGTTAAAATTGTACTAAAATATTTTAATAACGTGTTAGCCATCTGCCGTTCAAAAATGTTACTGTAAACTTTAAACATTTTGCGCCCTCTTGTGCTCAGTTATATTTTGTACATTATTGCAGTTTGTTTAAAATTTTTATCGTAAATTATAATAACGATTATGTTTTTATGTATATTAAAATCAATTAAGTTGTGTATAAAATATTTATATATAATATATGGAAAAATTAAAATTATTAATTAGAAAAAATATTGAGAGAATTTTATAATAACATTATTATTATTAAATCTTTCACGCAGATATGTTGGACACTTTAGCTTATAAACACTAATGACCACAGTTTCATGATCATTTAGAAAAAATTTAAAATTAATAATTAATAATTAGTTGATAAGATATAGAGACATACATCTAATACGCAGATTCCGTTGTAAAATTCAACGTATGTCTGACTACGTATTAAAATCAAAACTTTCCGCTTTCATTCAAAAAGTTGTTTAGACATCAATATCGGTTATAAAAATACTTAAAATCGAATTATTTTATTCACACAAAGTCTCGACAAAGTCTGACCATGTGTGATTCACTAAAATCCAAAATTTTCTGCATATTTTGAAAGTAAACTTGATTTGAAAAGCGGAAACACGGACAGTTTATACTTTTAAAAGATTTGTTGGTGTTTACGAAATTTAAGTATTTCTTAACCATTGGTTAAGAATCTCTGGTTATCTAACACGCTTAATAATAAGCTAACCGGTTATGATTAGCAGAAATTCTAGCAATTAAAGCAGTTTTTCTGTCAAAATAAAATGTTTATCATCATTTTGCATGGTTTTATTTATTGGGTCTGAAGTTATATTAAAATAAGTACAATTTTTTTTATCTTTTGTATAATATTATATTTATATGTTTATTGTATTTAGAAATTTAGTTAAGATTTCAAGTAAGCATGTAATAACTTGTTAATATTAATGAAGAAATTAGTTGCTTTTATTTGTTATATCAATTTTTTTATAAAGCAAGAAAATTTTCTACATTTATTTGTCGCTTGAGTTTTTGATTTGCAAAATTTAAACAAAATTGAAAATTAGTATCATTAGAAAAAGATTTTAAAAGGTATTAAAAATATTCTCTGAACACTTCATCAAATCATCAGTTGATCGAAGAAAATCAGTCAGTTAACAAAAATTTCCGTTAAAAATTTAAATGATTGGAAGTGCTTAAAATTAACCGGAGAAAGATAAGCATTTAATTTAGTAAGTTAAAATATATAATATATATTGACGCAAATTAGGTGTGTCTATAATTTTAAAAATAGATATTAAATCTTTTAATAAGTTTTGAAAAAGAATTAAATGCCTTGCGGGGTAAATAATGTAAAAGTCAGGCAAGCGTATGCCTTAACAATACTTTCTTATTGATGAAATTATAAAAATTACATTTAGAAACCTTTACAAAAATATGTAGTAAAAACATACATAAAATTTTGCAAATTCTGTGTTAAAATTTAAATTGCATTTAAAATATTTTTTATGTGGAATAGAAATTTAGATCGTTGTTTGCGCCATCTACATTTCATGATTCTTTTTCAGTTAAATGTCAAAATTATCGATTTACTGAAGGTGATTGTCAGCACTGCTCCGCATCGCTGCGAAGCAAAGCTGTTCAGCCAAGCAATTTCCTGTTCATCGTTCTTTCGTTCTCGAGTCGCCTTTGTGTGAAGAAAGAAAAATGAGAGCTAAGGTACTTGTTTGCAAATTAATATAAAAAAATTTGGTGTTTGCATTTATTAACTTATAACAGTGTTTTATGTAAATTATTAAAGTAACTGAACATAGAAATATTGAAATTTAATTGAAAATATAAATGCTTTAATGTTTTATAGTGTAATTTTGCGCAGGTCGCCATATTTGCTTGTGAATAAAAACACGTGTTTTTTTTTTGCATTTTCTGCTGGGAAAAGAATTTAAAATCAATTTTTGTTTTTAATTTCAGTGGCGTAAGAAGCGTATGCGTAGGTTGAAGCGTAAACGCAGAAAGATGCGTGCAAGGTCCAAATAAACCCGTATTAAGTTGTTAAGGTAAGTGACAAGTCAGGAGCGCTAGCGCTCCCATGCATTTGCGAGGGTTTACGCTAATTTGTGTTTTTCTTCTTTGCAGGTCTTGTTTTATACATCTCCAAACGCAAAAATAAGGAACTTCCTGTTTAATTGGCACCAGTGCGCTTTAAGAATTTTCCTCATGGAACGTGCGTAAAATTTTTAAAATAAAGAGAAATCTTTGGATTATTCAAGAAGTCGAAATAATTTGCATTTTTTTAATTGGAATTTGAGGGAACGACAGTTGCTATAGTGGTTGATTGATTGTTTTTTCTAATTGGCAGTAAATATTCACTGAGAACAGGCATTTCCAGTAAGAATTTTCACGTAATGAAACCCTACTTAGTTTTGGGCGTCTAATAAGAAATGTTTAGGTATTTTTGGAAATAGTTGTGTGCAAAAATTAAAGATTATATTCAAAGAATTTTATTTGTTATGTGAAAATTGGTTAAGTGCAATTGTTTAAGTGCAGCGAGATCGTTAACTTTTGTTCAGAAACATCCAGATAAAAGAGTATATTGGAATCAATGAACATTTGGGCGCAGATGTTTGAGTCAAGAGTAGTTTTTATAATTTGGTGGATTTAAAAATTAATTAATGTATGCGTAAAAATAGTGTATTTTTCACAGGATGTAAATTTTTTGAGAAGATTCTTATAGGTTTTTCTACTTAGTTTTTGCAAAACTCTTGAAGCAAAATCTGTATTTTAGGTTCGTATCTTTCTATTTAGTGCTTTTAATTTGTAACGGAAGTGTTAGTAACACGGCGATTTGTTACGGAACTGATATTAACGATATACTTGTAGTAACTAAACTAGTAGTAATGTGGTGACTAACAGTAAGTAACTAGTAGTAACACTGGTTCTTGTAGTGAAACTGGAAGTAAAGAGTAGTCTTAAGTATTGTCAGTTGTTGAATTTGTATTTTATTGAATAAATATCTCGGCAGTTTATAGAATACCTCTTCAATACGAAGGCCTGAAAACTGAACTGTCGTTTTGGAACAATTTTGGTTGTTTTGTGATCTAAAACGTACCACATGTTTATGCTGTTGTCGCAAAGGCAGAAGCATTTGTAAGACATTACGCAATGGATTCAGCAGAAGCATGGATTGCTTACTCGTTGGCTATAGCGCCATAAAGCAATAAGATTTAAATTTGTGTGTGCGATTGTGTAAGAAAACAGATGGGTGACATTACAACAGTTGTATCGTTTATTATAACATGATTATATTGCTATGAGATCTCAGGTTTTGTGGACTACCTTTTCATTGCAGAAATCTATTTGATTATATCTATTATATATTATATCTATTATATATTATATCTATTATATATTATATCTATTATATATTATATCTATTATATATTATATCTATTTGAAGACAAATAGTTAATTTCGTATCTATGTATGAATAGATTTATTTTTCAACTCGTTTATTGGTTTAGAGAATGTTTGTTTTGGACTATTCCTTTCTTATTACAATAGGAACTCTACAGTTAGCTAAAACATAGCTGCAGCCTGTTTAAGTTTATATTTCTAGGAGGTGTACATAATTGAATCATGAGGGGCTAACATTATTCATATTCCAAATGCCAGTGACTTAATGGTACTGTATAAATCATTGACATAAATCATTTGTGTAAATGTATATTTTAGTTGCTGCTTTACCCTGGTTCTCGGTCCATTGCTAGACATGTTGAAATTCCCTGTTCTGTTAATTTTATTTACCTAGTATACGTCATGACTAGAATACATTATGTCAATCAAATATTAGCATTTCTCGATTTTGAAACACTATATCAGGCGCAACCAAATCAACAGAATTTTATATAATATCTATGAAACAGAAAGAACAGTTGCTCCCTCAGTATCTTTAATGTCATATGTAGAAGCTTTGGTTGACATAGTTAATCTTTTTTCCTTTAACTGGAATTTCTTAAATTTATGGGACTATAAATTTTATTACTACTGTGTACTGTGGTAATTATGTATATTGCAAAATAATTGACTAACAAATTAAGTGAGCTATATAAATATTAAAAGCTATAGGGTTTCGGGTCGATAAGTAAAATTAAATTGTCTTCACAGTTTTTGTTCAATTTGTAAAATACTTGAACAGATCAGCTAACTTAGAAGTAATGCTAATGTATGTTTTGGATCTGTGGAAGTCCACAAGGCGAATTCATAAAGTCTCAAACGTAATTGCCTTAAATTTTTCTGAAGAGTCTCAAACGAGCGAAACATTATGTCAATATATATACATATACATAAAAATGTAAATATAATATTAGAAATGATATAGGTTTTAAGGTAGAGTTTGAAAAGGAGGAAGACTTATTTAGTTCAAAAAGGGTTGGGAACTAGTCACCGCGTCACTGCATCCTCGAGGATTATTATGACACTTATTGTGTATTTAGTTACTTTATTATTTATGATGATAAGTGAGGAATGTCTGGAATTTTTGTTTCGTTCTGATATATTTAATAAGCAAAATTTCATTCACAGGGGGCTCAATTCAAGTGTTCTATATATTTTATCCACTAATGTTTTTGCTTGTTGTAAATAACTTTAAAAATAGAAACATGATTTGTCGAATTGAAACCACATTTAAAACGATATCGGACCTACCGAGATTGTAAAAATATAACCATATCAAATGAATTTCAACTTGACGAATCAATAACAAAATGATCAAA